ATGTGTGTATTGCCTGCATGTAGGTAAGTGCACTGTATCGTGAATGCCCGAGGTCAGACAAGGGCGTTGGATCCCCTGGGACTGGAGTTATGGACAGTTGTTAGCTGCCATGTGGGTGCTGGGATTTGAACCCAGGTCTTCTGCAAGAACCACCAGTGTTCTTAACTGGTGAGCCATCTCTCTAGGCCCTAAATTTATTATTTTTATTTTACGTGTATGCGTGTATTGCCTGCATGCAGGTAAGTGCACCCATGTCGTGCAATGCCCGTGGGGGACAGAAGCTGTCGGATCCCCTGGAACTGGAGTTATGGACAGTTATTAGTTGCTATGTGGGTGCTGGGAATCGAACTCGGGTCTTCTGCAAGAGTAGTTAGTGCTCTTAACCACTGAGCCATCTCTCCAGCACCCTTGATTTATTTATTTTTATTTTATGTGTAGGAGTGTTTTGCCTGCATGTATGTAAGTGCACCACATGCATGCAACGCCTGTGGACGTCAGAAGAGGGTGTTGGTTCCCTCAAACTGGAGTTTGGACAGTTGTGAGCCACTATGTGGGTGCTGGATACTGAACCTGGATCATCTGCAAGAGTAGCCACTGAACACTCTTTCCAGCCCCATATTATGATTTTTAAAAAAATTATCAGCCAGGCCGGGCATGGTGGCGCACGCCTTTAATCCCAGCACTTGGGAGGCAGAGGCAGGCAGATCTCTGTGAGTTCAAGTCCAGCCTGGTCTACATAGTGAGTTCCAGGACAGCTGGGGCTACAAGGAGACCCCGCCTCAAAAAGACCAAAAAAAAAAAAATTATCAGCCAGGCGTGGTAGTGCACACCTTTAATCCCAGCACTCGGGAAGCAGTGGCAGGTGGATCTCCGTGAGTTCGAGGCCAGCCTGGTCCAGGCCAGCTGGGGCTATAGGGAGATCCTGTCTCAAAAAGACAAAAAAAAAATTATCTATGTGTATATGTGTGTGTGTGTGTGTGTGTGTGTGTGTGTGTGTGTGTTAGTGTGCATGTGGAGGTCAAAGGACAACTTTGTGGAGTCACTTCTCGCTTTCTTCCTTTATTGAGTTCCAGGAATAGAACTCAGGTCAGCAGGCTTGTGTAGCCAGTGTCTTTACCTGCTGAGTCATCTTGATTTGACCATCCTTGTTTTGTTTTGTTTTAATTTTTAAAAGATTTATTATTTTTAATTGTGTGTGTCTGTGTGTGGGTATGTGTGCATGAATGCAGGTGCCCTTGGAGACCAGAAGCATCAGACCCCCTGGACCTGGAGTTATGGGCGGTTGAGAGCTATCTGACATGGGTTCTGGGAATTGAACTCAGGTCCCTGACAAGAACAGTACATGCTCCTAACTGCTGAGCCAACTCTTCAGCCCTACTTTGTTTTGAAACAGAGTCTTATTCTGTAGCCCAGACTGGCCTCAAACTCAAGGCAATCCTCTTGCCTCAGCCTCTGGTACTAGGATTACGGGGTGAACCACTATGGCTGGTTTGTGAAGACCAAGATTTTTTTCTTGATTCAGGGTCTCCCTGTAGCCCCAGCTGACCTGGAACTCAATATATAGCCCAGGCTGGCCTCACAGAGCTCTGCCTGCCTCTGCCTCCCTGAGTGCTTGGATTAAAGGGGTGCACCACCACATCCGGCATCCAAGTTTCTTAATTCTAAATTCCTGATGCTCATTGTCCTGGTTTGACTCATAGTCTTTCCTGTTTACTAATCCGTGTGTGTGTGTGTGTGTGTGTGTGTGTGTGTGTGTGTTAGATAGAAGGCTCAAATTGGCTGGTACCATGCCCAGCCGTGGGGGTGAAGGATGGAGTCAAGTCCATTTAGACAATGGGCAGTGGTACAGAAAAAAAAAAAAAAGAAATTGGGGTGCTGCCCAGGAACGGAGAGCAAAGGAACAATTTTCCCAAAGGAGAACAATTTTCCCAAAGGAGGATGCAGCCTGGGCATCCCCCCCTCCCCCCTGGGGCCAGCTGGACAGGACAAGCCCTTTTCTCCTCCCTTGCTTGTCCCCACCAGGATCAAAGGAGGGTTTTGGAGCGGCTGCAGGTTGTGTACACCGTGGGCTACTCCCTGTCCCTGGCCACACTACTGCTGGCACTGCTTATCCTGAGCTTCTTCAGGTGGGACCCCCCCTCCCCACCCCCTGCAGCCCTTAAAGGTGTGGTAGAGACATGGGCCTCACTTTACCCATTAAGATGGGAGGTCCTCTTTGGGAAGGTTGGCTGGCAGTGTTTAAAGGAGCTGTGCACAGCTGAGGACAGCTCTCCAGGGGTTCCCAGCCTGTCTCTCCATTCCCCCAGGCGGCTGCACTGCACTCGTAATTACATTCACATGAATCTCTTCACGTCTTTTATGCTGCGGGCGGCGGCCATCCTCACCAGGGACCGGCTTCTGTCTCCACCTGGGCCTTACCCTGGGGATTTGACCCCTACCCTGTGGAACCAGGTAATCCATCTGTCTTCTGTTCCTCCTTCCTGGTGGGACCTGGAAATTCCCCATCTCTTATCCATCTCCTACCCTACCGAAAACTTCTCTCTAGAACCTTCCATACAACCTTCATAACTCATCCTTTCTGTAATTAAATGCCTCCAACCCCTTTGCCCCCTTTGTTGGGATTTTCCAGTCCTTTCTTCACCATATCCCCCATTACTGAACTTTTCTTTTTCCCAAGGAGAGAACCTACCTACTGCAGGTGTGTGGGTGAGGTGGGAAAAAGTAACTGTTGAATGGGGAATTTGGAAGGTAGCAATTTGTTCCTGGACTTGGGAGGTGAGACTCCAGGAGGGGAGCCCAGGTGAATGAGTGAGGCTCTAACAATTGTTAGGAAGGTCTTGGGGTGAAGCTCAACAGTGGAGTGCTTATCCTGGTACCGAGGGGAAAAAAAAAAAAAGGAATGAGGAACTAGAGAGGTGGCTTAGTTGGTAAAGACGCTTGTTGCCAAGTCTGATGATTTGAGTTCAATTCCCCGAGCCAACATGGTGGAAGGAGAGACCCGACTCCCACAAACTGTGCTCTAACCACCAGTCTCACACCACTGAGGCATGCATGTGTGTCAGCATACATGCATGCGCATGCACACACACATATGCACACACACACACTACATGCTCACATACCACCCATTTTTTTTAAGGTGCAAAAAAATTTTTTTAAAGGGAAGAAAAGACAGGAAGTGGGGTGGGGTGTGGTGGCTCACACCTTTAATCACAGCCCTTCAGGAAGCAGAGACAGGTGGATCTCTGGAGTTTGAAGTCAGCTTGGTCTGGTAGGAATAAGTTCTCAGGAGCTAAGGTGGCTGCCGGGTGTGGCGGCACATGCCTTTAATCCCAGCATTTGGGAGGCATAGGCAGGCAGATTTCTGTGAGTTCGAGGCCAGCCTGGTCTATGCAACAAGTTCCAGGCCAGCTGGGACTACAGGGAGACCCTGCCTCAAAAATACCAAGGACAAAGGGGAGCCCCCCCCAAAAAAAAAAAAAAAAAAAAAAAAAAAAAAAAAAAAAAAAAATGAGGTAGTGTGGCAAAAGCTGTATTTGGGGATTCTGAGAGGTCTTCACTCTGAGTTCAAAAGGGAAGATGCCAGTTGCTAAAGGAATTAGAGTGAGAGAGTCCATCAAGAGAAAGAGAGCAAAGTGAGGAAAACTAACAATGGGTACCACCCACTGGGGATGCAGAGTGGGAGAACATTTGATGGCAAGAGATGAGGATGAACTGGGTCTCGTATGTAGGATTGTGATCTCAGCTACATGGTAAGCTGGGCAGAATAGACATTTCAAGAGTTGCTTGAGTTGCAGAGGGAGTTTAAGGCCAGCCTAGACATCTTACCCAAAATAAAATGTATTTGGGGACGTAACTTAGTGGTACAATGCTGTCTAGATTCCACCTGTGAGGGGCTGGGACCTGGCTCAGTGGTAGAGCCCCTGCCTAGAATTCCCCAGTGAGGGGCTGGGGGCGTGGCTCAGCGCTGGAGCACCTGCCTAGACTCCCCCAGTGAGGGGCTGGGGTGTGGCTCAGTGGTAGAGCCCCTGCCTAGAATCCCCCAGTGAGGGGCTGGGGTGTGGCCAGTCTGGTCTACATCGGAGTTCTGGGCCAGCCATTGCTAGACAGTGAGACCCTGTTTTAAAAAAACAAAACAACCAAAAGAGAGGCAAGGCTGCAAGACTGCTGGGAAAAGGCTTCGGGACCCCTTACCACCGTCTTGATTTCCTTTCTCTTTGGTTCCCTAGGCCCTAGCCACCTGCCGCACGGCCCAGATTGTGACCCAATACTGCGTGGGTGCCAACTACACGTGGCTGCTGGTGGAGGGCGTGTACCTGCACCGGCTGCTGGTGCTCGTGGGAGGCTCAGAAGAGGGATACTTCCGATGCTACCTGCTCCTTGGCTGGGGTGAGCCCCGACTCCTTCCCCCAGCCCAGCCCTGCACCTTGGCTTCCCCAATTGCCCAGCCAGTCCTCCTTGGGGGCGACTCCTCCCCTCCCACTCGGGCCGAGGAATTCCGCGGGTCTTGGGCCTGGTTGCGGCTCGTGCGTGCGCTGACAGCTGCGGCGGGGTGGGGGGCGGGGGTTGGGGTCTGCACAGGGGCCCCCGCGCTCTTCGTCATTCCCTGGGTGATCGTCAGGTACCTGTACGAGAACACACAGTGAGTAGCAGGATCTGGGGGCGGGGCCTGGCTGGTGGGCGGGGCTACGGGAATGAGGGCGGGGAAGTTGGAGTGTGGGCTCCTGGGGCCTAGAGTGAATGTGGGCGGGGTCTAATGGGACTCAGGCCTGGGAAAGGTTGCTTAGGTGGGACTCCAGGAAAGCAAGAATGTGGGTGGACCTTAAAGAGGATGGGCGGGGCCTGGTTAGTGAACTTGTGTGACCCAGTGCGTCAAGAGTTTTTATGTCTCAGGTCTACCCTGCCTCCTCCAGGTGCTGGGAACGTAATGACGTTAAGGCCATTTGGTGGATCATTCGCACCCCCATCCTAATAACCATATTGGTATGACCAGTCCCACCTCCTCCAGGCTGTCCTCAGGGATTTCCCATTCTGGGATACACGGAGAGCCACCTTCTATTCCCCACCAGGATGGGATGGCTTCTGGCTCAGTCTCTCTCTCCTCACAGATTAATTTCCTCATCTTCATCCGCATTCTTGGCATCCTTTTGTCAAAGCTGAAGACGCGGCAGATGCGCTGCCCAGACTACCGACTTAGGTGAGGGCGGGATGCCGGCTCAAGCGGGGAGCCGAGGGGACCGGGTTCTGGGCTGGGAGCCTAGGGGCCACCGACACCCTCTCTTTGCAGGCTAGCCCGCTCCACACTGACGCTGGTGCCTCTGTTGGGCGTGCACGAGGTGGTGTTTGCTCCAGTGACAGAGGAGCAGGCGCGTGGCGTCCTGCGCTTGGCCAAACTGGCCTTTGAGATCTTCCTTAGCTCGTTCCAGGTGCTCAGACCCGGTGCATGGGCTCCACCCTTCCACCTTGGGCCCTACTCCCCACCCGGGCACCCCACTACAGTCACCCCCTGGCGTAGCCTCAGAATGGAGTGCGCGCAGATGGGATTGGTGCAATGGACACAGAACACCGAGTTAGGGTTATCCTTGGCTCCGGGAAGGCCCCCCCGGGGGGGTGTGTGTGGCAGGAAGCCACGCAGCCCCCCAGTACTGCCTCCAGGTGAGGAGCAAAGGCTGTGGCGTGCACAGAGCTGGGACTAAGTTGAGGTCCCTGCTGTTTCCACTGTGTGGCTTTGTTCTTTGGGTGGGGGCTGCACTGAAGCAAGTGAGATGCTGAGAGGTGCTGAAGTTAAGGAGGTCGGTCCAAACAGTAAGGCCGATGATTTGCCTTCCCCAGTTGGCACCCTGCTGGAGCACAACTGAGCCTCATTCTACTCTCTAAAGTGGGGGCTATACTAACCTCACCTCACAAGGTTGTGTATTTATTAAGGGAAGTAGAAATGATTGAGGACCTATGTACTAAGATAGCCAAGAGCCAAATGGATGCTGGAAATACAGAAAGTAAATATGACTTATAAACAGCCAACCATGCCGGGTGTGGTGGTGGGCAGGCCTTTAATCCAGCACTCGGGAGGCAGAGGCAGGCAGGTTTCTGTGAGTTCAAGGCCAGCTGAGTCTACAGAGTGAGTTCCAGGCCAGCTGGGGCTACAGGGAAACCTTGTCTCAAAAAGGCAAATAAATAAACTAATTAAAAAAAAAACAGCCAGCCACACATCTGGAGGGATGTTCCAGAATGAAGATCCCTAAGGTGGTAGAGTAGCTGGTGTGATGGAGGGAGGTCAGGGTGCCTGCAGCTCCAAGACAGGAAAAGAGCCACAGGGACAGAGAGGTGAGAAAGGTCCACTCTCCAAACAGAACCTCAATTTGGCCTTTTCTCTACTACTGGAAGAGGAGGGGTGTGATCTGAATTCTATTTTAACAGGATCATAGAAAATCTTAATAAGGAATCTTTATAAAATTTTTATTACTTTTCTTTTTATGTATTGCCTAAATATATGTAAGTGCACTTGTATTATACAATGCCCATGGAGGTCCGAAGAAGGTGTCAGATCCCCTGGAACTGGAGTTACAGGTTTTTTTTTTTTGGGGGGGGGTCTTTTTGAAACAGGGTCTCCCTGTAGCCCCAGCTGTCCTGGAAGTCACTATGTAGACCAGGCTGGCCTTCAACTCACAGAGATCCACCTGCCTCTGCCTCTTGAGTGCTGGGATTAAAGGCGTGCACCACCACGCCTGGCTTTTAAAAAATTTTTATTTATTATTTTTATTTTATGTGTATGAGTGTTATGCCTGCATGTATGTAAGTGCACCCATGTCATGCAATGCCCATGGAGGTCAGAAGAGCATGCTTCCATAACAGCCTTTATCACAATTCACTTTACCCTTTGAGGGGCAAGTGGTATTTTCCCTGTAGCCCCAGCTGTCCTGGAAGTCACTATGTAGACCAGGCTGGCCTTCAACTCACAGAGATCCACCTGCCTCTGCCTCCCAAGTGCTGGGATTAAAGGCATGTGCCACCATGCCCAGCCCCCCAAGGACTATCTTAATAATAGCATGTAGCCAGGTGTGATAGTGCATGCCTTTAATCCCAGCTCCCCAGAAGCAGAGGCAGGCTGATCTCTGTATGTGGCCAGCTTGGTCTACATAAGGAGTTCTAGGTCAGCCAGGGCTACATAGTGAGACCTTGTCTCAAAACAAAACAAAACACAAAATAGGGCTGGAGAACTGGGTCAGTGGTTAAAAGCATTGACTGCTCTTGCAGTGGGGTTTGGTTCTCAGCACCCACATGGTGGCTAACAACCATCTATAACTCCATTTTCAAGGGATCAGGAGTCCTCTTCTGACTTGGTCGGCATTGCATACCTTGGTACCCTTACATACACCCAGGGAAATCAAATAAAATTATTTTAAAAATTCAAAAGCCTTGGGGCTGGAGAGATGGCTCAGAGGTTAAGAGCACTGACTGCTCTTACAGAGGACCTGGGTTCGATTCCCAGCACCCACATGGTGGCTACGAACCGTCCTTAACTCTAGTTCCAGGGGAATCCGAAGCCCTCTTCTGACCTCCGCGGTATTGCATGACACAGGTGCACTCACATATGTGCAGGCAATACAATCATACACATAAAATATAAAAAAATTCAAAAACCCAAAATAACTAAAATCTGTCTCCATTGGGCTAAACATACATTCTATCACTGAGCTGTATCTCAAGCCCAGTGTTGTATATATGTATTTATTTATTTACTTTTGAGACAGTCTCCATATGTAGCCTAGGACAGATCTGGAACTCTCCTTCTGCCCTGGCTTTCCAAGTGATGGGATTATAGGTTTGTGTCACTAAACCCAGTTTTATTTTATGTTTAAATTTAGATACAGAACATGTCTACTTTTATGAACACATTACTTATATACTTATAAGTGACATATAACAAGTTATAATAAGATGAAGAAAAAAAAAGTTGGTGTGATGACTCAGGGCCATAATCTCAGCACTCCAGGAGCTGAGGCAGGAGGTTGTTGTGAGGTTGAGGCCATTAGTTGAGTTTCAGGCCAGCTTGGGGTACATAGTGTGAGACCCTGTCTTAAAAATCAGAGAACACCGGACATAGTGGTGTATACCATTAATCCCAACACTGGGGAGGCAGAGGCAGGTGAATCTCTTTGAGATTAAGGCCAGCCTGTCTACAGAGCGAGTTTCAGGCCAGCTGGGGCTACAAGGAGATCCTGTCTTTAAAACAAAACAAAACAAAACAAAAAATATGCTGAACATGGTGGTGCACACCTTTAAACCCAGCACTTGGGAGGCAGAGGCAGGCGGATCTTTGTGAGTTCAAGGCCAGCCTGGTCTACATAGTTTCAGGACAGCTGGGGCTACCCTGTCACAAAACAACAACAACCACACACACACCCTGTCACAAAACAACAACAACCACACACACACATACACACACACACACACACCCCAAAACCAGAAAAACAGATCCAGGGAGCGAAGAGAGGGAAAGAGACAAAAGCTAATACTGTGCCAGTCACTACATCTTTTTGCACATTAGTATCTCAATTCTTCCAACCACCACCGGATGTTCATTTGTCCAGATGAAGAAACTGAGGCACAGAGTGGTTAAACAGCTTGCCCCAAACACAGAAAGCAGGGAATCAGTTTCCACACCCAGACCCTGGTCCCCTGTCTCAGCCCCTGGGAAGGGCAATGTGGGGAGCTGGGAGCAGTGAGTAGGTGCCCTCAATAGTCTAGGACCAGAGCGGCGACCGCTCAGCGCCCTGGGGCTGGGAACAGTGCTGTCCACACCCGCGATCTGACGTGCACCCCCCAACACCGCCCCCTCGGCAGGGCTTCCTGGTCAGCGTGCTCTACTGCTTCATCAACAAAGAGGTAGGAAGAGGCCCGCCCGCGCCCCCTGGCGGCCGCGCCGGGAAGGGCGCCTACTGAGTGCCCTACTTTGCAGGTGCAATCAGAGATCCGCCGTGGCTGGTACCACCGCCGCCTGCGCCTCAGCCTCAGCGAGGAGCCGCCCCGTCCAATCCCGGAGCACGACCTCCGGGCCCCGCCCTCGCGCTCTGCCCTTCAGGAGGTCCCCATCGGCTGCGGCTTGTCCTCGGGGCCGCTTCCCGGGCCTGGAGATGAAGCTAGCCGGGATTTGGAAAGTTACTGCTAGGTAACAGAAATCCTATGTTCGTCCAGTCAGCATGTATTTATCGAGCGCCTACTGTGTATAAAGCAGCGGTGCTGGGGACAATGGGGAAATGGGGGACAAAGAACTGGAAGACAGGGTCCCTCCCCCGATATCACAACTGAATAGGGGAGTCATCTGGCTATGGACATCACATCCAGGTACATAATTGTTGTGGAATGGTTTATAAAAAGAATTCAGACGCCTAGGGCAACCGACTGGGAGGTGACTTCTGAGGTGGTATTTAAGCCATGCCCGGAGGAAGTGAAGGAGATCACTTGAAGAATCAGAGGGCAGGACAAGATTCCAGGCAGATGGAACAGCATGTGAAAAGGCTCTGGGGCAGGAAGAATGGAGAGAGACCTCCATGGCTGGACTGGAATAAGAGCTCACAGACGGGGAAAGAGAATCGGGCAGGGTTGGAGGAACTGGGATTTCACTCCAGGGGCACTGAAGATTTTAGCAGGAGTTATCTCCTGGACTTTTGTGCATAGCTGTCTGTACTGCAGGGACTATGAGGGACAGGGGTGTGAACCTGGGACCCCAGTGAGGAGGGGTATGCAGGTGGGAGGGGGCTGCAGCTGGACCAGGATGGAGGCCACAGAAGGGTGGGCAGCAGTAGTTCTAGAACTGTTTCAGAACGCCAGGAGGAAAAGTGTGGCAAGAGAGAGAACGAAGGGCCCTTGGTCTGGGTTCAAGAGGAAGGTGCTTTTTACCTGTTCTGCTGGCAACGGCTGTGGGAGACCCAAGGGAGTGTCTGGATCTGGAGCTGCCAGAACAGGGAAGCCTGGTGATGTGGAGGATTAAACGGAGCTATGAATGCTGCATTTCAAGCCAGGCCCAATGCAAGCTGGAGAGCAGACACCAGCCTCCACCTGCCTCCACCCCCCTAGGATGAGGACTAGGAGAAAGGGATGCCAACAGCCAGCCTCGCTGTGGCTGGACCACCTGTAGGCACAGAAGCCCCTCACTCCTCAGTACCCAGCCTCTATTTTCCCTGGGTTCCCCAGAAAGATGTGTCACAACAGCTGAATTCAGAGCCTTTTCTAGCTTGTGGCCCTGCTGGGTCCCCCACTGCACTTCTGGCTTTGGGGTCAAGTGGAATGGGGGATCCTAGTAAATCAAGCACAAGAAACAGTTGCTTCTTTCTGGGGTGGGAGACTCCTCTTGGCCATGCTGCAGAAGGAATGACTGAGGTGGGTATGGAGGTCTGCAGTGACCTAACAACTCCACATGTTGCCACAGAAAACATGGACACCAGGCTGCTACTGTGCCCCTTCCTAAAACCCCAACTGGAAACTAATCAAGACATATATAAATTAAAGTTGTATAAACATGCTGCCTCTGTAGAAAGCACTGAAATCCGAAAAAGCCAAGCTGGGTGTGATGGTGCTTGCCAGTAATCCCTGCACTTGGGAAGTGGAGGCAGGAGGATGCAGTCAATCTTCCAGAGACAGTGGGCTAGAGGCCTGAGCTACAAGAGACAGTGTCTCAAACAAACAAGCAGCAAAAGCAGTAAGAGGTCTGCCTCATCCCTTAGATGGGCTTTTTAAAAAAATTTTATTTTTATGTATGTGCATGTATTTCCTGCATATATGTGAGTGCACCCATGTCATGCAATGCCCACACTGGTGTGGTCTATGTTTGGCCAAGATAATCTCTGAGGACCTCCCACCCCCACCCCTTTGGTTTCAGCCCCTTGAGAGGCATTTGGAGTCTGAGACAGGATTGTGGCAACTTCAAGACCAGTCTGATTTACATAGCAAATTCCAGGCTGGCCAGGAATAGAGACCCTGTCTCAAGGTGTAGGGGGTAGTTGGAGGCTGGAGAGATGGCTCAGTTAAGAGCATGTACTCCTCTTCTGGAGGGCCTGAGTTCAATTCTCAGCACCACATCAGGTGGCTAACAACCACCTTTAATTCCAGCTCTAGGGGATCCCACCATTTTGATCATTACTCATGTGCACAAACATGGACACAAACACACACACACACACACATATACACATGATCAAAAATAAATCTTTGTTTTTTTTTTTAAAGAAATTGAAATTTAACCAGGATGTGGTGGTGCATACCTGTAATCCCATTTAGGAAGCTGAGGCAGGAGACTTGCTGCAAATCTAAGGCCAGCTTAGGCTACATAGCAAAACCCTGTTAAAAACAGAGGGTGCTGGAGAGATGGCACACTGGCTTAAGAGCACTGGCTGTTCTTACAGAGGACCTGAGTTCAATTCCCAGTACTCACAAGGCAGCTAACGTAACTCCAGTTCCAGGGGATCCAGCACCCTCTTCTGACTCCAAAGACATTACGTGCACATAGTGCACTTACATACGTGCAATCAAAATACTCATACATATAAATTTAAGCCAGGCGTGGTGGCACACGCCTTTAATCCCAGCACTAGGGAGGCAGAGGCAGGCAGATCTCTGTGAGTTCAAGGCCAGCCTGGTCTACATAGTGAGTTCCAGGACAGCTGGGGCTCCAGGGAGACCCTGTCTCAAAAAGACCAAAATAAATAAATAAATAAATAGAAATTATATATTTATAAATATAAATATATAAATTTAAAAACCAAACAAGACGGGCTGGGGAGATGACTCGGGATAAAGTGCTCACCATGCTAGTGTTAGGACTGGAATTCAGATCTCCAGCACCCACATAAACGGTGGAGAGTGATAAGACACTGGACCTATACACACATGAACACACACAGAATACCATTTGGGCAGCCTGGTGGGTGAAGAAGTCTCTGCCCTCAGTAGCAGGCAAAGCAATACCCACTGCCTGGTAGGCACACATCAACTATCAGGGTGGCAGGGACAGGTGCATGGGACCATGACTTAAAGGCTTGCTCCAGACCTGCTCCGGAGCAGCTCTGCTGGTGGCACTGCTGGCCAGGGCCTGGCTGCCTGTCTGGATGCAGCTTCCTCATCTCCTAGCTGAGTCACCCCAGGATGACTACCCGTCTCTGAGACTCGGCTGTCTCACCTGTAAAATGAAGTAGCTCTCTACAGGCCTGATGGAATGGCATGAGGATCACAAGTTCAAAGCCAGCCCACCAAACTTCCTGAGAATGTCTCAGAATATGAGTGATCAGAGGAATTGGGGAGATGGCTCAGTGGGCAAGACCAGTTGATGCACAAGCATGGAGACTTGAGTTCAAATCCCCTGCACCCACAGAAAATGCTCCGAACAGAGATGTGGGTGGAAAAGAAGGCCCTGTGAACAGTCCAGGGCAAGATTAAGAACTTCCATGATCTCACAATAAACAGGCCTCCCTTTCCCATTGTTAGAGAATCCCTCTCAAGAGTAATTATGCCATAAGCTGGGGTATGGCTGGGTACAGAGGTGAAGTTACAGACAGGCTCAGGAGCAGGAAGGGTGAAAATCACTGCATCACTTCTTTGCTGATCCCCCAGGAAGTAACATTATCTTTTGGTGCCTTAGTCTACTCTTCTGGGGAACGGAGATACAAATAGCAGTGTCTGACTGGAGCTGTTGGGAGGATGCCTGAACAGCACCAGGCACCCCAACAGTGAGGCCATGATGTCTATTAGATCACCCAAGGACTACTGCTTAAGTGTCCCCCTGCCCACCAGGATGGGCTGGAGATGCTCCTGAGCATCTGTCAGGTCCCCAGCATAGCAACACAGAGCTGGAGACTGAGGAGGCACTGGGGAGATGGGAGTCTGTTCATGAATGAAAATGGAAAAAGAGACCCGAAGAATTTTGAGCAAGGCGGACTCACTGAGGTCATTTCTATCTAACAGTCTCCTTCATGGACAGAGCAGAGATGTGCCTCACCTGCTCAGGGGCCCTGTCCTAGTGCTCAGCCTGTGCCAACCCCACCCTCTATCTTTCCCAGAGCTCACCCTCCTCAAAACCCTGAGAACAGACAAGATACTATTGGGGAAAAAAAATCCAAACAAACAAACAAAAACACAGGGCTTTATTCCCATGGCATCAGGCAGGTCTCTGCAAGACGGGGAACAGAGCAGGTACTGATGGGAGGAGGCCTCTACTTGCCAGCGATGAGTGGGTTCCGCAGGACCACAATGACGGAGTCCCCTCGTAGGAACATCTTAGAGATGTAGCGGTCCTTGTTGACAGGCTTGGACTTCTTCTTGCCCTTGCCACTCTTGGGGACCTCAGTCCACATCTCCTTCACGTTCTCCAGCACCATGTTGCAGTGCCTGGTGGAGCAGGGGTGGGGGGAACACTGGAGTGAGAGAGGCAAATGCCAAGCGCTCACCTCTGCCTGGCACTGTGCTCTCCCTCCAGCAGCAGGCATGGAGAAAGGTGCAGGCGCCAGGGATGGGACGGCCAGGCTACCAGACCTGTCGACCTATTCTTAGCTGAGGCTTGGACAAAGGAATCAAACCCTCTGTGCCTCAGTTTTCCCTTCTCCAAACACTGACAATCCTGGCCCTGTCGTTACAGGGCTGCCATGAAGACTGATGTTACAGCATTTCTGAGGCACTTAGAAAGGACCCTGGCATGGAATAAAGACAAGCAAAATGGCTGCCCTTCTGCATTAACCAAGGTACTTAGGGAGGGCAGCAGGAGAGAATCACCTGCTCGCCCTAAAACCATAGTGCTCCTGGGGGACAGGGTTAGAGGTTGCTCCTGACCTGTGTGTTTCAGTCCTGTGCTGTCCTGGCCAAGTGGCTACATGTTGACCGTACAGATCAGTACATTCCACAAATGCTTACTTGAAGGGATGAATATGAGCAAACACATGTATGACTAGGTCATCAGGAAACCCACTACTTTATATGCTAAAGCGTCCTTTCATCACCACACAGCCACACTACCAAAATAAATTGTTTTTTGTTTTTGGTCTTTTTTGAGACAGGGTCTCCCTGTAGCCCCAACTGGCCTGGAACTCAATATGTAGACCAGGCTGGCCTTGAATTCAGAGATCCACCTGCCTCTGGCTCCCAAGTGCTGGGATTAAAGGCATGCACCACCGTGCTGGTATGATCTTTTTTAATTTTAATTTTTTTAAATATTTTAAAAAACGGGCTGGAGAGATGGCTCAGCAGTTAAGAGCACTGACTGCTCTTGCAGAGGACCCGGGTTCGATTTCCAGCACCCACATGGCAGCTACGAACCGTCCTTAACTCCAGTTCCAGGGAAATCCAGAGCGCTCCTGACCTCCGGGGCATTGCATGACACGGGTGCACTCACATACGTGCAGGGAATACACTCATACACTTAAAAAACAAATTAAATTAAATTAAATTAAAAAACAGTATTCGTTCTTTGAAACCTCTCCCACTCTCACTTTTCCTTAATAAATCTAAATTCAGTCTGCTAAAAAAATAAATAAGGGCTGTGTTGTGATAGTGCATACCTTTAATGCCAGGATTCAGGAGGCAGAGGCAGGTGGATCTCTCTTTCAGGCCAGCTGGGGCTACAGGGAGACTCTGTTTTTAAAAAATAAAATAAGAGGCAGGCAGATCTCTGTGAGTTCAAGGCCAGCTTGGTCTACCTAGTGAGTTCCAGCCCACCACAGGGAAACCCTGTCTCAAAAAGATCCCCCCCCCCAAAAAAGGGGGTTCGGAGATGGGACATTAAGATGTCTCAATAGGGAAATGTGCCTACCACGCCAAGCCTGATGACCTGGTCTGATTCCTGGGACTAGACCACATGGTAGACTCCTGAAAGTTGTTGTCTGACTTCCAATCCTGTGCTGTGGTGCCTGCCCCCATCACTGAATGTTAAAAAAAAAAAAGGAATGGGAAAATGGCCTACGGAATGTTTGCTACGCTGGCATGAGGACCTAGGTTCAGGTCCCCAGCATCCATATAAAAGCTGGGTGTAAGGACATGTATCTTTATTATCATTATTGTTATTATTATTATTTTTTGTCTTTTTGAGACAGGGTTTCCTTATAGCCCCAGCTGTCCTGGAACTCACTATGTAGACCAGACTGGCCTAGAACTCACAAAGATTCATCTGCCTCTGCCTCCCAAGTGTTGGGATTATAGGTGTGCACCACCACACCTGGCTATTATTATTTTTTAATATTTTATTATTTTTATTTGATGTGTATGCATGTATTGCCTGCATGTAGGTAAATGCACCCATGTTGTGCAATGCCCGTGGAGGACAGAAGAGGCTGTCAGATCCCCTAGAACTGGAGTTAAGAACAGTTGTTAGCTGCCACGTGGGTGCTGGGATTCGAACCCAGGTCTTCTGCAAGAACAACCAGTGTTCTTAACCGCTGAACCATCTCTTCAGCCCCGGGACATGTATCTTTAATCCTAGTATTAGGGGGATGAGCAGAGACAGGTGGATCCCCAGAGCTTACTTGCTAGCCAGTGTAGCCCAAGGAGAAGCTCCAGACTCTGTGAGACTGTCTCAAAAAGGTGGTGAGCAATAGAAGAGAGCATATGCTGACCTCTGGCCTCCAGATACACCACACATAGAAACTCACTTTGTGCTGGTCGTGGTGCACACCTTTAATCCCAGCACTAGGGAGGCAGAGGCAGGTGGATCTCTGTGAGTTGGAGGCCAGCTGGGCCCACATAGTAAGTTCCAGGCCAGCTGAGGCTACTGCAAAACCCTGTCTCAAAAAGACCAAAAAAATAAAAAACCTCTTTGTAACCAACCACCATGCCTGACCCTTTTTAAAGTTTCTAAAAGTTTTTTAATCTTTAAAAAAATATTTTATTGTTTTTACTTTATGTGTATGAGTGCACTGCCTGCATGCAAGTGCACTCATGTCATACAATGTCCGAGGAGGTCAGAGAGGGCATCAGATCTCCTGGAACTGGAGTTATGGATGGTTGTTAGTCGCCATGTGGGTACTGGGAATTGAACCCAGGTCCTCCTCTGCAAGAGCAGTCAGTGCTCTTAACTGATGAGTCATCTCTCTAGCCCTAGTTTTAATCTTTTGAGAGAGGGTCTTGCTGTGTTATCCCAAATGGCTCCTAACTCATGGTGATCTTCCTGCCTCAGCCTCCTGAGTGCTGAGATTAATGGTGTTTGCTATCATGCCCAGATAACTGGGATGCTTCTGAGCAACCTTTCATTCAGGCTCCTGAAATAGAGCTGGGGCCGCTCCTCCAGACCCAGAGGCAAGATGGTGTTGCTCACCTGTCAAAGGCCTTCACCCGGCCCAGGAGTTTCTTGTTGTTCCGGCAGTTGATGAGTACTTGTGTGTTGTTCTTGACCGACTGTGTGAGCACGGAGAGGGGACCTGTGTTAAATTCCTCCTCCTCCCGCTTCTGTAACTCCTCTGGGGTCATCTCACTCTTGGGTTTGTTGAGGAGGCTCCTGGATAGAAAGCCAACAGGTAAGATGGGTTTACGTTGCAGGTATGAGCTTTTTCTTTTCTTTTTTTGTCTTTTTGAGCTGTCCTGGAACTCACAGAGATTCGCCTGCCTCTGCCTCTCAAGTACTGGGATTAAAGGCATGCGCCACCACACCAGGCTAGGTTGTAAGTATGAGCTGTTTTTATTTTTTAAATATTTTATTTATTACTTTTATTTTATGTGTATTTGTATATTGCCTGCATGAAGGTAAGTGCACCCATGTTGCGCAATGCCTGAGGAGGACAGAAGAGGCTGTTGGATCCCCTAGAACTGGAGTTATGGACAGTTGTTAGTTGCTATGTGGGTGCTGGGATACAAACCTGGGTCTTCTGCAAGAACAGCTAGTGTTCTTAACCACTGAGCCATCTCTCCAGCCCCAAGCATGAGTTTTTAAGCCTCACCCTCCATGCTTTCCCAGACACCCTCCCTCCTGCTCAGTCTTTCGTGCAGGTCTGACATTGCCAACTTAGCCCTCTTCAGATCATCCACCACCCAACCCCCTCTACCCAGTCTTTCCCATGTCTATTGATGGCAACCCCGTCCTTTGGGCTTTCTAGGCAGGAACTCTAATGTTTACTTGACCTCTTTTTTTTTTTTTTTTTTTAACGGGATCTTTATGTAGCCCAAGCTGGCCTTGAACTGGTTATGTAGCTGAGGATGACCTTGAATTCTCAATTCCCCAGAGTTGGCTTCAATCTCATAGAGATCCACCAGACTCTGCCTTCCCAGTGCTGATATTAAAGGCATGTGCCACCAGACCCAGCTCAACTCCTTTAAATTTTTAAAAAATTTATTTTTATGTGTATGAGTGTTTTGCCTCCATGTATATAAGCACACTTGTGTGTGCAATGCTCATGAGGCCAAGAGAGGGTGTCAGATCCCCTCAGACTGGAGTTAAGGACAGTTGGTAGCGGCCATGTGGTGCTGAGAACCAAACCCAGTTTCCCTGCAAGAGCAACCAGTACCCCTAACTGATGACCCATCTCTCCAGCCACCCCTCCCCTTTTTTGAGACAGGTCTTTGCTGCTGTGTCTATCTGGCTGGTCTGGTACTATGTGGCCCAGACTTCCCTTGAATTCTTCATCTTCTGGAATGACAGGTGTCATCACTCCTGACCTTTCTGTCTAATGCTGTCCGGCTTCCACCCATGCTCTCAGAATGCTGATTTCCGCAGCACAGTCCAAGAGGTTGTGTCTAAACTGCATTATTCCATGCTTCAAAACTCTTGCATGGAACTGGCTATGGTGGCACCTCCCTGACATCCCAGCTCCCAGGAGGCTAAGGCAGAAGGATCTCTAGTTCTAGGCCAGCCTGACTACACTATAAGACTTTATCTCAAACAACAAGCAAGCAACCAGTAACCAGTGCCCCCACCCCCAAGGGTATCCATCTCAGTAGAGAAGAAAAGCCCCACTTTCACAATGCCTATACCTATGTGCTTTCTCAATTTCAGCCAGTGACTTCCCAAGTAACCTTCAAGGAGAGGATCTTCTGGAATGACAGGTGTCATCACTCCTGACCTTTCTGTCTAATGCTGTCCGGCTTCCACCCATGCTCTCAGAATGCTGATTTCCGCAGCACAGTCCAAGAGGTTGTGTCTAAACTGCATTATTCCATGCTTCAAAACTCTTGCATGGAACTGGCTATGGTGGCACCTCCCTGACATCCCAGCTCCCAGGAGGCTAAGGCAGAAGGATCTCTAGTTCTAGGCCAGCCTGACTACACTATAAGACTTTATCTCAAACAACAAGCAAGCAACCAGTAACCAGTGCCCCCACCCCCAAGGGTATCCATCTCAGTAGAGAAGAAAAGCCCCACTTTCACAATGCCTATACCTATGTGCTTTCTCAATTTCAGCCAGTGACTTCCCAAGTAACCTTCAAGGAGAGGAGGCAAATTGCATGTTAAGGCCATACTATTGTTGGAACTCCCAGATATCAGTGATCTTTCTCTGGCTCTCCTCTCTCTTTTTCTTTTGGTGTTTTTAAGACAGGGTCTCCTGTAGCCCCAGTTGGCCTGGAACTCACTAAGATAGACCAGGGTAACCTAGAACTCACTGAGGTGCTGGGATCAAAGGTGTGTGCCACCTCACCCATGCCCAGTCTACTCTCTTCTCTTTTCAACTGTTGCCTTTCCAGTTTGTCCTTTTGTGTTCACTAATCCACTAGCATTCTTTGTTTTTCACCCCATGCAATGGTTTATCTTTTTTTTAAAATTTGAGACAGGGTCTCAAGTTGTCCAGGCTGGCCTCAGTCCAGTGTGTGTGGCTCTGAGGATTGAATTCAGTGCCTTGTGCGTGCTAGGTAAGCACTCTACCCACTGAGCTACAGTCTCAGGCCAAGTTTTGGGTTTTCGATGTTACCCTTTTTGTTAACTATTAAGCTATTGACATTATTTCCCTACTCTACTTTTTCTTCATTCACAGGCCTGACCATCTAACATACCACGTATTCATTTATCACTCTACGGTTAGCCTCTCAACTCTCTTCAGAAGCCCTAAGAACATTTTAAAATTTTTATTTAATTTTAAAAGCATTTTATTTGTTACTTAACCATGCCCAGCTTGTTATTTTTATTTTATGTGTATGAGTTTAATGCCTGAATGTGTGTAAGTGCACCCATATCGTGCAAAGTTCTCAGAGGTCACAAGACAGTGTTGGATTCCTGGAACTGGAGTTAGAGATGATTGTTAGCCTCCATGTGGGCGCAGGGAATGGAACCAGGTCCGCTGCAAGAGTAGCCAGTGCTCTTAATCAGTGAGCTATCTGTCTAGTCCATCTTTGCTTTCCCCTTAATGGTGTGGCATTTTCTATTCACTTATGCATCCCATGTGTCCAAAGTAGCGCGTAACTTACATCCATCTATGTAGTATATGCTCAGTAAATAAACACGCAAAACCAGTGCTTGCTATCCCAACAGCCTCGAATTAGGCTGAAGAGCCACCACCTAGGTTATTCTGATAAGTCCCTTACCTTAAGTCACAATTTCAAAGATAACTTCTTTCCCCCTTTTTTATTCGTAAAATCGCTTCCTCTTAAAAAATCCTTTCTTGAGGGGGTCTTTTTTTTCTTTTTAAGACAGGTTCCCGCTGGAACTTGCTAGTAGCCCAGGCTGGCCTCAATCTCACAGAGATCCACCTGCCTCTTCCTCCCGAGTGCAAAGGCATGCGCCACTACGCCCGGTCTTTGGGATAATGTCTCTCTGCAGGCTGCAGAGGAACTCGAGGTCCTCCAGCCTCAGCCTCCCAAGTCCTGGGATTCCAGGATACCCCACCAGGCACGGCTGTGCCCTCACAATCCATTTCCCTAGGACTCCGTAACTGAGCGCGTCCCACGCCAGTTAAGAGCGCTTCTCCAGCTCCCGAAACTCGCGATACGTCAAAGGCCGGATGCCGGTTCTCAAACACATCAGGAAAGAAAACTGACTTCGTCTTGAAAATAAAGGCCCTGCGCGCCCCGTTACTGCCATTAACCCCCCAAATCTCCCAGCTCCACCTCCCTCCCGCCGCCGCAGCCCAACCCGGCCTCACATGGTGCAAGTTTCCCTCGCAGAACACTGCCGCTTCCACCGCGATGCTTTGGCCTCCGAGTGGAGCGAGTGGAAGGCAGGACTTCCGCTGTCTGAGGCACACTTCCGCCCGCGCCTGCGCAGTCCAGAACATACGTGGGGGCGTGGCCTGTTGCCATAGTAACCTCTTCCCGCTGCGCTGAGACGAATGTCTGGACTAACGGCCCGAAGCCACTCAGGACCGTAATAAGCCAGATGGCCACGACAACTGAGAGGAAAAGAAGGGGTTAGATTCGAATTAGTTCTCCATTGAATATTCTACGTGGAAGGAGGGAAACGAAACTTGTTTCCAAATACCCGCCGACCCTTTCTTAAAGGGCGTGGATTCGGGCCAGCCAATCCGCTACTCGTTTGAGGAATTGGCACCGCCCCTTTTCCCTTGAGTTGAAGGTTCATTGATTACCTGCTATATCCGGGAGGGTCGTGGCCTTGCTGCAGGGAGCGCTACCGTTTCGCACATTCACCTACAGTTCATTGGCTGGTCCTCCTCCGTGGATTGTGCGACGTTCAGGATAGCCAATAGAAATAGACCGGGTAGGCGGGTCCTCAGGATGCTCGGTCCTTATTGGCTTCCATTCGTTCCCCGTGGGTGGGACGTGGCAGCCACTCTGGTTCCTTATTGGTGTTTGTGACTCTACCGGGCGGATCTTGGCTCCGACCTAATCTCTACCCAAGGACCCGAATTCGGGTTCCAGCTGCCATGCGTTCCGGGGGCCGCGGGCGATCCCGGCTGCGGGTCGGGGATCGCGGCCTTATGGAGCCGCCCTCACTGCCCAAGCGCCGCCTGCTGCCGCGTCTGCACCTGCTGCCCCTGATGCTGCTGGCGCTGGCCCTGGGCTCGGCGTTCTACATCATCTGGAAAAGTTGGAACCCAGGGGCTGAGGAGCTGTCGCCGAGCCGGGAATTGCGGGTGAGGCTGCCCACTTTCCTTTCCCCCTGAGTCTCGGGTTAACGTGGCTGTATCGTATGGCCCTTGCCGCCGGTGCCAGCGCCTTTCTCCCTCACTTGAGCACATGCCCCTTATCGAATGGCTTCAGCCTTGTTTTCTACTAGTAGCTCCCTCTCCAAGATGAAGGGTCTAGGAGGTAGCAAGATTGGGAACTCTGAGTTCTTCGCCCCAAGGCGTGTGTTTGGAAGTCTCTCCACCCAGCTTAGGTTTCCCCATCAGGACTGCGGTAGGCTGGACCAGATGGGCTTTGAGGGGCTTTCACTCAGTCTAGGATTCTTCCTAAGAAGTCTTTGATGCTGGAGACTGCGCGTTACCAAGAGGAGCCAGGGCTCCTAAGAGGGCAACACAGGGTAGGCTGGGAATGGGGGTTCTTTCATTCTTTTTTATAACTCGCTCCCCAATCCCATTTCTCATCCAAGGCCCCGCTGGTTGGAAGTCTACCAGAAGCCAAGCTGCGGAGGGTGGTGGGACAGCTGGATCCGCAGCGTCTCTGGGGGACTTTTCTGCATTCCCTGCTGATTGTGCGACCCCCAGGTAGCCCTGGCAATCTCCAAGTCAGAAAGGTAAAAGGTCTTACTTCTAATCCCCAATCTCCTCTCCTCAGCCTGTTAGGAAATGGAACACAGACACCTAAGATCCCAAGACAGCCAAGCGCAGACTGGGGCTCTGATGGAGGGGAGAAGCAGACATTTTTTTTTTAAATATATTTTATTTATATTTATTTATTTATTTTTAATTTTTGTGTATGAGTGTATTGCCTGAATGTATGTGAGTGTACCTGTGTCGTGCAATGCCGCGGAGGTCAGAAGAGGGCTTCAGATTCCCCTGGAACTGGAGTTAAGAACAGTTCGTAGCTGCCATGTGGGTGCTGGGAATTGAACCCGGGTCCTCTGCAAGAGCAGTCAGTGCTCTTAACTGCTAAGCCATCTCTTCAGCCCGAGAACTCTTGATTCCCACAGTGGTGCACAAACTGCAGGCTATAATATGACCCTCACCCAAAACTTACTGTATACTAGGTACAAGCAGTGCATTGTCCTGTAAGGTGAAAACGCATATGATCTTCATTATGCAGATGAGGAAACTGAGGCCCAGAGAGGTAATTATACTTTGTCCAAACCCCACACCTACTTGAGGTTTGACCTCAAGCAGATTAGCTTCAGAACTGATTGGGGGAACATTTCCCTGTTGCCACCCAGGTTCTGTGTTTAGAGGTCACCTCACCTTGGAGTAGTTTCATAACCTCTCTGGGACTCAGTTTCTTCATCTGAAAAATGGGGACATTCACTGACATTGCTATATCCATAGAGTTCCTAGAAGAGAGCAATTTAGGAGGAAGCCAGGGCTGGGATGTATCTCAGTAATACAGCACCTGCCTGGAATCTTCCAATGAGGGGTTGGGGGTGTGGCTCAGTGGTAGAACACCTGCCTAGAATCCCCCAGTGAGGGGCTGGGGTGTGGCTCAGTGGTAGAGCTCCTGCCTAGAATCCCCCAGTGAGGGGAGGGGAGAGTTACTTAGTGGTTGAGTATCTGCCTAGAATCCACTAGTGAGGGGCTGGGGGCATGGCTCAATAGTAGAGTGTTTGCCTAGCATGCAGAAGTCCCTGGGTTCAGTCCTCAGCAACAACACCACACACAGACACAAAAGAATAAACCATACCTGGATACAGTAGCCCAGGCCTGTAATTGAACATTCAGGAGGCAGAGGCATGATGATCTCAAGTTCTAAGCCAGCCTAGGCTCCATAGCAAGTTGGAGGCTAGCCTGGACTACATAGTAAGGCTTTGTCTCAAAAGAAGCAGAAATAGCCATGGTTAGTTTTGATGGTATTCATTCAAGATGTGGAATCACCCCACATCTGGCACGCAGTAGGTCTACAGCAGAAGTCTGTCAAGGGAAGGAGGTAAACCAAAGGGGGACTTTGGAGTCCACCAGACTGATCTGCATGGCTCCAGTCACAAGGCCCTTCTCCCCACCTCCTCCCCAGTCCCTGTCCACCCTCCTACCTCTCTCTTACCACTAGTTTCTGGAGGCCACCATGCAGGGCCTCTCAGCAGGCTGGCACGTGGAGCTAGATTCGTTCACAGCTTCAACCCCCCTGGGACCATTGGACTTTGGAAATGTGGTGGCTACACTTGACCCAGGAGCTGCCCGTCACCTCACCCTTGCCTGCCATTATGACTCGAAGTTCTTTCCCCCGGGATCAGCCCCCTTTGTGGGGGCCACAGATTCGGCTGTGCCCTGTGCCCTGCTTCTGGAGCTGGTCCAGGCCCTTGACCCGATGCTCAGTAAGACCAAGCAGCAGGTAAGGATCATCTGCCTCTGTCAGTCATCCTTTTTTATTGTTGTTGTCATTCATCTTTTTTGAGACAGGGTCTCCCTGTAGCCCCAGCTGGCCTGGAACTCTCAGAGATCTATCTGCCTCTGCCTCCCGATCATCCTTTTTTTTTTTTCTTTTTTTTTTTTGGTGCTAAAATTTTACTGCTTAATAAGATAGTAGGAAGCTTATCTATCCAGATATGGATCTCACAGATAAGACCAAGTAACTTCCATTAACTGTGAGACATGAACTCCCATTTTTTTGTGTATTTCATACAGAAAATCTTTATACCCCCTTCCCCCTTCCTTTTTGGCGCCCTCCCATAGCCCCTCCACTGGAGTTCATACATTCTGTCATTTGTATTCAGGCCTATCATGTAAAGTTAGTATCCCCAGATGTCCCTCAGTGCAAGTTCATCCACTGGGATTTAGTCAGCCTATCTAGAGTCTTTCCATTCAAGATCAGCTCTCCCTCACCCAACAGTAATCAGCTGCCAATAATTCTTCGACTAAGATTGGGGCTTGCTGTTGATTTCCACAGTTCTGTGATGGGTTTTTAATCTGCCTAAGTTTGCATGGGCCTTGTGCATGCTGACACCATTGCTGTATGTTTGTATGAGAAGGATCCCTGGTGCCTGTAGGACCATTTCCATAGGGTCATGCATCTCCTCCCTGCCTCCCCTTTTTTTTTTTTAAATTGAGACAGAGTCTATGTTTGGAGCCCAAGTTAGACTTGAACTCACGGCAATCCTCCTGTCTCAGCCTTCTAAATAGTTTGATGACTGATGCCCCCATGCCCCACTGTCTCCCAACCAATATTCCAGGCCTTCCTGTTCAGCCTATGACTTCTGCCAGCATACTTACACGAGTGAGGACACCTGGTTGGTCCCATCCATCCAGCTGTATAGATAGATGGGCAGGGCATGTGGCTGGGCTGCTGCCAAGGGCTGGTACTGATATGGCCACCTGCTCCCATAGGCACCCTCGGTGACTCTGCAGCTGCTTTTCTTGGATGGGGAAGAGGCGCTGAAGGAGTGGGGACCCAGGGACTCCCTCTATGGCTCCCGGCACCTGGCCCAGATCATGGAATCTATACCCCATAGCCCCGGCCCCACCAGGATCCAAGCTATTGTAAGACCTGTTCCTCTGGACTCTGGAGAGGGAGGGAGGAAGGGAGGGAAGGAGGGAAGGAAGGGGAAGGAGGGTGGACCAGCCACATCCAACTCAGCCCCCTCCAGTTCTGGTCTCCCTCCCTAGGATCTCTTTGTACTTCTTGATCTTCTGGGAGCACCCAGTCCACTCTTCTACAGCCATTTTCCCCACACAGTCCGCTGGTTCCAACGGCTGAGGAGTATCGGTAAGCAGGGAAGGCCGAGGTTGCAGGGTGGGCTGGACAGGTACCCCGACCTCTGTGTGTTCATCTAGCGTTCCCTCCTCATACCTGGTCCAAGAAACCAGGCCAGAAACACACACTGATCCTGCAGAGGTCTAGTGTAGTTAGTGATCATGAAACAGGAGCTCTGGCAGGAGATAGGCCTGATTTCAAAACCTAGGTCTCTCTCAAACCAGCTGTGTGAACTGGGGCAAGATGCCTCATCTCTCTTAAGCCTCAATTTCTTTCTGTAAAGTGAACATGGAGGTAAAGCTAATGGGGGTATGGCTGTGAACTGGGCATAAGGATGCTGTCTGTAATCCTAGCACTCAGGAGGCTGAGGCAAAAATATTGCAAGTTCAAGGCCAGCCTAGGTGACCTAGTGAGTTTCCAGGCAGGACTAAGCTGTCTCAAAATAAAATAAAATTAGCTGGGCATGGTGGTGCACACTTGTAGTTCCCAATTCTTGGGAGGCTGAAGCAAGAAGAGTGTGAGTTCCAGGCAAGCCTGGGGTACAAAGCATGACTTTGTCTCAAAAATAAATAAAATAGGGCCAGACATGGTGGCACACCTTTAATTCCCAGCACTCAGGACGCAGAGGTAAGTGGATCTCTGTGAGTTCGAGGCCAGCCTAGTCTATAGTGAGTTCCAGGACAGCTGGGTTACATAATGAGACCCCGTCTCAAAAAAAAAAAAAAAAAAAAAAAAAAAAACCCAAAAATAAAATAGTTGGGTATGGTGGCACACACTTGTAATCCCAACACTTGGAAGATGGATCCAGACAGAAGGATTAGGGGTTCAAGGTCATTCTCAGCTACACATAGAGTTTGAGGCCAACCTGGGGCTATGTGAGGCCTTTTCTCTTAAAAAACTCAAAATAAATAAAATAATTAAGGGCTGGAGAGATGGCTCAGTGGTTAAGAGAAAATATTGCTCTTGCAGAGGACCCAGGTTTGGTTTATAACACCCACATCAGGCAGCTCACAACTGCCTCTAACTTCAGCTCCAGGGAGCCCAAAGCCTTTGGCTTCATTGGGTACCAGCACATGTACATATACCCATATGTACATAATTAAAAATAAAATAAATATTTAAAAATATAAAATAATTT